ATTATGTTTATGTTTCCCTGCAAAGGGTCTCCGCATCTTCAACATCTCTTTCTACACAAAGCAAAGCTTCCTGCCCAGGCAGGTGTGCACGTTGCTGTTCCTTCGCCAAGTATCCCGGAGGTCTTCCCACATTGTCGGCATTTTGCCGCCCTGTTCTTTTGCAAAGCTGCATAATATGCAGTGCTGAGAATGGCCAGAGTTTATACAGCAAATCCCCTGTGGCTGGGCATTTAGGTCATTTGCATCTGGTTGCTGTTCCAAAGAATGCCATGATGAATCCACAGCCCTGTAGAGTAGGTATTACTCCTGGGAGGTTGATTTGCTGGAAGGAGCCCTACTGGGTCCCAGGGCATTGTCTTCAGCTTCCGCCTGATTCTCTCTGTAGGGCTTGGCCATTTCCACCCCTGACGGCAGCAATGAGAATCAGTGCAGACCCCTGAGAATAAACTGAAGTCTTACTCTTTTCATCTCTCTCAGTCTAACAGGTGGGAAACAGCCCCTTGTTATTCCTCCCCACCCCCCACAGTTTCAACTTTTTTTTTTTAAAGATTTTGTTTATTTTTATTTGAGAGAGAGAGAGAGAGCAGGTGCGCACAGGAGTGGGGAGGGGGGCAGAGGGAGAGAGAGAGAGAAGGCAGACCCCCCCTGCTGAGCAGGGAGCCTGCCGAGGGACTTGATCCCAGGACCCCGGGATCACGACCTGAGCTGAAGGCAGATGCTTAACCGACTGAGCCACCCAGGCGCCCCCCTTTTCACCTTTATTAAGTGTAATTGGGGTAGACTAAATTGCACATATGTTAAGTGCACGCCTAGTGCAGTTTTGACAAGTGTGTAAATCTATGAAATCATGACCACAGTCAAGATGATGAACATATATCATCACCCCCACCAGTGTCCTGCATCCCTTCACAGCGCCCCCCTTCTCTGCGCTTTTCATTGCCAGGCAACCTGATCTGCTTTCTGTCACTAAAAATAGTTTGCAGGTTCCAGAATGTTATACGTAAGTTTTGTGCTTGGCTTCTTCCACTCAGCATGATGATTCTGAGATTGTTCCAAATTGTTGCATGTATCGGTAGTTCATTACCACTTTTTTTCTTCGTGGGGAAGAGCGCGCATGCGCACTTGTGCATGCGTCCGTAGGGGAGGGGCACAGAGAGAGGGATAGAGAGACTCCCAAGCCGGCTCCACGCTCCGCACCAGCCCAATGCCAGGCTTCATCTCAGGACCCTGAGATCATGACCTGAGCTGAAATCAAAAGTTGGATGCTCCGCGCGCCTGGGTGGCTCAGTTGTTAAGCATCTGCCTTCAGCTCAGGTCATGATCCAGGGGTTCTGGGATCGAGCCCTGCATCAGGCTCCTTGGTGAGCAGGGAGCCTGCTTCTCCCTCTGCCTCTGCTGCTCCCCCTGCTTGTGCGCTCTCTCTCTCGCTGACAAATAAATAAAATCTTTTTTAAAAATGAGTTTGGTTATTCTAGGTCCTTTGTAATTCTATATAAATTTTAAAGTCAGTGCCAGTTTCTGCAAAAAAAAAAAAAAAATCCTGCTGAATCAGAGATCAATTTGGGGAGAACTAACATCTTAACAACACTGAGTCGGCCAGTCTATGAACACGGTATATTTTTCAATTTATTTAGATCTTCATGAATTTTGCCCGGTAATATCTGTAGTTTTTAGTGCAGAGATCTTAGACTTCTTTTGATAGATTTACCCCTAGATATTTAAATGTTTTTGCTGCTGCAAATAGGATTTTTTAAAAAATTAAAAAAAATTTTTTTAATTAAAAAAATTGCATTCTCTCTCCCTCTCCCTCTCCCTCTTCCCCTACCCCCGCCCCCCACACTCTCTCTCTTTCACTCTCTCTCTAAAATAAATAAATAAATCTAAAAAAAAAAAAAACCGCCAAAAAACAGAAAAAGATTCTCAGCCTCATTCGTATTAGGAGAAACATAAATTTCAAGCACGGTGAAACCATATGATCATTTCAATGGGTATAGGAAAGATTTGACCAAATTCAACACCTATTCATAAAAACTTTTAGCAAAGTAAGTATAAATGGGAATGTCCTCAAACTGGTAAGAAGCATCTACAAAAAGAGCTATGGGTAATATTTTACTCAACGTCAAAGACCGAATTGTTTCCTGATGAGATTGGAAAGAATACCAGGATGTCCATTTTCACCACTTCTATTCCACATCCCTCTGGAGGTCATAGTTATTACAATGACTACAATTTTTTTTAATAAAAAATTTTTTTAAATTACATTTTCCAGTTGTTTGCTATTATATAAAAATATATAGTATAGGGGCGCCTGGGTGGCTCAGTCGGTTAATCGTCTGCCTTCAGCTCAGGTCATGATCTCAGGGTCCTGGGATGGAGCCCGGCGTGGGGCTCCCTGCTCAGCGGGGATCTGCTTCTCCCTCTCCCTCTGCTGACCTACCACTCTGCTTAGTATGCTCTCTCTCTCTGGCGAATAAATAAATAAAATCTTTTAAAAAAGTATATATAATATATAAGAATTCAACTGTATTTTGTATATTAACTTTTTAACTTGTGAACTTGCTAAATAAGTTTATTAGTTCTAGTAGTTACCATAGATTCCCTTGGATTTTTTACATATAAATAATCATATCATCTGCAAATAGGAAGAGTTTTACTTCCTCCTTCCCAATCTTTATACCCTTTATTTATTTTTCTAGCCTCATTGTAATAACTATGACCTCCAGAGGGATGTGGAATAGAAGTGGTGAAAATGGACATCCTGGTATTCTTTCCAATCTCATCAGGAAACAATTCAGTCTTTGACATTGAGTAAAATATTACCTATAGCTTTTTTTGTAGATGCTTCTTATCAGTTTGAGGACACTCCCAGTTATACCTACTTTGCTAAAAGTTTTTATGAATAAGTGTTGAATTTGATCAAATCTTTCCTATATCCATTGAAATGATCATATGGTTTCCCCGTGCTTGAAATTTACATTTCTCCTAATACGAATGAGGCTGAGAATCTTTTTCTGTTTTGGGGTTTTGTTTTTTTTTTTTTAGATTTATTTATTTATTTTAGAGAAAGAGTGAAAGAGAGAGAGAGTGTGTGGGGTGGGGGTAGGGGCAGAGGGAGAGGGAGAGGGAGAGAGAATCTCAAGCAGACTCTGCACTGAGTGTGGAGCCTGACACAGGGCTTGATCTCACAACCCTGAGATCATGACCTGAGCCAAAACCAAGAGTCAGACGCTTAACTGACTGCACCACTCAGGCACCCCTCTTTTTCTGGGTTTAAGAACCATTCATATTTCATTTTCTGTGACTTCTGAGTTCATAGCCTGCTAAGTTATTGGCATTTTCTTATTGTTTTCTAGGAGGTGTTTGTATAATGAAGATATTTTATCCATGATATGAGTTCACATTTGTTTCCAGTTTCATTTGTTTATTCTTTGACTGCATTTATGGGCTTTTTGCCAGCAGAAAATTTGGGATGTTTATATCACTAAAGTTTCCGATTTGTTCTTTTTTCTTTTTAATATTTATTTATTTATTTGAGAGAGAGAGAGAGAGAGCAGGGGGAAGGGGCAGAGAGAACAGGAGAGGGAATCTCCAATAGATTCCACGCTGAGTGTAGAGCCTACCGTGGGGGTCGGTCCCAGGATCCCGAGGTTATGACCTGAGCCAAAACCAAGAGTCGGACACTCAACTGACTGAGCCATCCAGGTGCCCCTCCAGTTTGTTCTTGAGCAAGCCTTCTGGGCTCTGCCTCCCTGAAACTTCCTGATGGAGCCTTCACAGACCCCTCTCTGGGGCCAAGGGTGTTACCTTTGTCCTAACCCTGTTCCCTTCCTGCTCATTCTCAAAAATACCACAGTGACCATCATACTGGAGTCGTCAGGGGCCTAGAAACTCGTTGTGCTTCCCGGAGGGCTGGGGTTCCACCTCAGGGCCACGGATGGGAGTAACGTTTGCATTCCTCTCTGCTCTAGCCACACGGAAGTAAAAGAAAAATGCTACAGCTAAGTCCCTATGCAGCACTTCCTGCCACTAGCCGGCTGTGGCTCCAGCAGCGCCGAGGTTACACTTATCCCCTCCCTCCACCCACAAACCCCACTGATGCTTCCAAGCAAGTCTCAGAGCACTAGGTCCCTAACACCCTAACACCCTTCAGAAACACTGTGACCTGGCCCAGTCTCCCAGCCTTTTCCAGGGCTGTTCCCTCTGCAGGAACTCCCCATACCTCCAGATCACTCTTTGGCTAATCCCACCTGTCCTTGGATTTCAGTATCAAAGCCACCTCCTCCAGGAAGCCCTCCCAGACTCAGGGCCTCTCCTAGCAGCCTGGCCCTGGGGGTCACTGGGACAATTATTGGGTTTATTTTTTTTTAAGTTTATTTATTTATTTAAGTAATCTCTATACCCAACATGGGCCTTGAACTCACAACCTGGAGATGGAAAGTCGCACGCTCTTCTGACTGAGCCAGCCCGGCGCCCCTGGGTAATAGTTTAATATCATCTCCCGCACTAGACTGTCAGCTCCACCAGGCAGAGACTGGTCTGCTCTGGTAGGTGCCCCATAAGTGTCTGTGGGTGATCGAACTAAAGTCAACAAAATACATACCAAAGCCATTTTTGTGCCAGGACATGTGATGGGATTACGGAGATGAAAGAGTCCTCTAAAATCTATTCCCCAAACTACTTTCTCGGGTAAGGGCACTGGGCTGGGTCTCGCCGGGATGCTGCCCTAGCCTCCTGCCTCCTCCACTCACGACAACTTCAGGGGCATGAACAAAATGATCAGACCTGACCGCTCCTCACCGCTCTACTCCCCCCCCCCACTTTAGGTCCAGGGTTTCCAGCATTCTGGAAATGGTCCAAGGAGGGCCACTGCCTGTGGAGGCTTCTGTAACATTCTGCCCCTCCGCGGCCAGGCCCTCTCCCCCCCACCCCCGCCCCCATCCCCCACATGGCCATGACTTTCGGTAAGTGACAGCAGCTCAGGAAGCTGAGGGGCCCACACAGGAAGGAGCAGACTGGGACTTTCCTCCGGCTGCCGCCCGGCTCTGCCCTCCTATCCTTAGCCCAGGCTTCCCAGCTGCCAGGTAAGAGCTGGTGGGGCCACATGGCTCTGGGGTGGGCGTTGGGGGGGGATATGTGAAGGGCTGTGGCTGGGGACAAGGCAAGACCTCTGAGGAAAGCTGCCAGACAGACAAGAGCTGGGAGGGGCTGGCTCTGTGGCCTCAGCTTTTTCTGCATAAAATGAGACCTCAAATCCCCAGCTCTCTGGACCTGAGTGAATCACTGTGGCTTGGGCCTGGAGTTCATGCCCCTGGGGGCACAGTTCCCAGCCTCCACCCACCCAGGCCAGAGCTTAGGGTGACCAACCAACTGTAGGGGATGTGGGACTTAGGGTGTTAAAGTAGGGGCATTTTGGGGCGCCTGGGTGGCTCAGATGGTCTGCCTTCAGCTCGGGTCATGATCCCAGGGTCCTGGGATCGAGCCCCACATCGGGCTCCCTGCTCGGTGGGGAGTTTGCTTCTCCCTCTCCCTCTACTGTTCCCGCTGCTTGTGCTCTCTCACTGTCTCTGTCAAATAAATAAATAAATAAAATCTTAAAAAAAAATAATAAAGCAGGGGCATTTTTCTGTGTCCCAAGCACCACCTCTGACTTTTTCTTTTCTTTTTCCTTCAATATTTAAAATATATACATATCTTTAAGATTGATTTTAAACAAAAGATACACATTGTGTGATTCCATTTACATAAAAGTGCAAAGACCATGATTAAGTCGACTATTAGAAATAGGACAGTGATCACCTCTGCAGGGAGTGACAGGGGCCCCAGGGCTCCTGGGACTGGGAATGTTCTGATTCCTGGTCTGGGAGCTGTCCCTAGGGGAAAATTCCCTTCCCCTCATGCCCTCCCTCCACCATAGGAACCACTAAACCACTGTGTCAAGGGACCTTCCTGTCTGGTTTAGCTGGCCTTTGTCAAGTGCTCACTGGGCATGTCGCCAAGGATTGTGCCAGTTAGTGAGGATTAAAAACGTTGACAGCTTGGGCTCAGCTCAGCAAACCAAGGCGGGTAGGGAGTCAGCCCATTTCACAGCTGAGAAAGTGGAGTCCCAGCTGTGGGAGTCCTGCCAGGGTCACAAAGCTTGAGTATGATGGGGTTGGGATTTGAACCCAGAGCCTAAGGTCTTTCCCTATCCCAGCTCCAGGCTTATAGGCTGGGTATGCTAAAACCTCATTAATGCTATCCCTCCTCCACCTCCTACTATTACTCTGGAACGTGGTTTTTTTGTTTTTTGTTTATTTGTTTGAGAGAGAGTGAGTGCCCCAGCAGGGGGGAGGGGCAGAAGGGAGAAGCAGATTCCCCTGCTGAGCAGGAAGCCCGACGCTGGGCTCGATCCCAGGACCCTGGAATCATGACCTGAGCCAAAGGCAGACGCTTAACCGACTGAACCACCCAGGTGCCCCTGGAACATGGTCTTTTACTCAATATTTTCTTTGTATCTTCCTTATTCAGGTCAATGTAAGTGGATCTTGTCCATCTACTACTCCTTTTTCCTGGCTGGCTCAAAGTCCAGCCCTTCCCTCTGCCTAGCCAGGGGTCCCGAATTCTGGTAATAAAGGGTGAGGGGCAATTTCCTCCTAGGCCCATTCCAGGGAGGGCTTCTTGCTACAGGAGCCTAAACAGTGGGAGTGATAAAGGGGACAGAGATGGTGATGGTGGTGGGCAGATAAGACACAGAGATCCCTACTAACTGAGTCATCAGTCTGGATCTAATGCATGCTGCAAGGCATACATCATACCAGCTAGAAAAGCTTCCAGCCCCAACCCCAGAAGAGCTTGAGTCTGCTAGACCTGCAGGAAGTGTTGGGCCACCCATGTACACGAACCAGTATCCATCTGCTTCTTGGTCTGCAAATCTGTACATCTGTGATTGATTGCTCATGCCTGCCTGGGGCAGGGGCTTTGGAGTAAGGTAGATGGGGAGGCTGCAGATTGACTGGAGATATCTGCCCTGGACTGACAAGAATACACACAAATTATGTGTGTCAACACAAATTAGAGTGTAGAATATCCTCCAGACCCCAGCATAGCCCTTACTGGGTGGGTTTATGGCTCCTCACCAGTCTTGCACACTCAGCTCCCCCCATCTCTCTTTCTCCAGCTCTGTCTTTTTTTAATATTTTATTTATTTATTTGAGAGAGAGTGTGCTTGAGAGAGAGCGTGAGCAGGGGGAGAGGCAGAGGGAGAAGCAGACTCCACACTGAGTAGGAAGCCCGACGTGGGGCTTTCCATGGGGCTCGATCCCAGGACCCCAGGGTCATGACTTGAGCTGAAGGCAGACGCTTGACCAACTGAGCCACCCAGGCGCCCCTCTCCATCTGTCTTTCTCTTTCTGTGTGTCTCTGTTCCCCTCTCTTCCCTCTTTCACCAGCTTCAACCCTACCTCACCCTGCAGCATTTCTGTCCCCCCACACACCTAGAAGCTTTGTAGTCTCTTTCCCTCTGGCCAGAACTGAGTGGCTGCCTCTCTTTGTGTCCAGACAGGCTATACCTATGGCACCTCCAAGCGAGGAGACACCCCTGATTCCTCAGCGTTCCTGCAGCCTCTCGTCTTCAGAAGCTGGTGCCCTGCACGTGCTGCTGCCCCCTCGGGGCCCTGGACCCCCACAGCGCCTATCTTTCTCCTTTGGGGATCATTCAGCTGAAGAGCTGTGTGTTTGGGCTGCTAAGGCCAGTGGTAAGTGGGTCCCTAGAAGACTGGGCCAAAGAGAGGAGTAGGGCTGTGGGAGGCCTAGATTGGGAGCTGGAATAGCTGTCAAGTGGAGTCAGCATGGGAGCTGGGGCTTTGAGGGATGAATAAGAGTTTGGAAATGGAGGAAGGTGCTCAGGGAAAGGCTGTGCAAAGACTGGGAGGCACATGAGGGCAAACAGTTGGTCATCCTTTGAGGTAGAGTGTACAGTGGAAGGAGCACTCTGGGGAGAAGGGCAGGGAGCCCCAGGAAGCATGTGGTGTGTGGATTCTCTGCTAAGGGCAATGGGGAGCCCTGGAGTGTGTGTGAGCAGGGGTGGGACACAGTGTGAGAGCCCAAGGTGAGAAAGAGCCCTGCAGGGCTGCATGGGGTTCGTAACCATGGCAGCCCTGCGAGGGACAAGATGGGGAAATTTAGGAAGGTGCTGATGGGGGCATCCCCTCAGGCATCCTGCCTGTGTACCACTCCCTCTTTGCTCTGGCCACGGAGGACCTGTCCTGCTGGTTCCCCCCAAGCCACGTCTTCTCCGTGGAGGACTCGGGCACCCAAGTCCTGGTCTACAGGCTCCGGTAGGAAGCACATCACCCCTACTCCCACAGGCATGGGTTAAATGTTACCAAGAGGGGATGCCTTTTGTGGAGGGCAAGGGGAGTTTAAAACAACAGTGATCCTACAACCTTGTCATCTCCCTGCACTTCCCGGTGGTGCCCCAGGGAGGATGTGATCACTGCTCATTGCACAGATGAAGAACTGAGGCCAGAGGGTGTGCGTTGCTTGCCCAAGGTCACGTAACAAGTCAGTGGTACAACCTGGGCTCTGTGAGGTCTGAGCACGGTCTTCCACCCCTCCCTACCCCTACTCCAGGCTTCTCCCCTTCCCCAACAGCTTTTACTTCCCCAACTGGTTTGGGCTAGAGAAGTGCCACCGCTTTGGGCTACGAAAGGACTTGGCCAGCGCCATCCTTGACCTACCAGTCCTGGAGCACCTCTTCGCCCAGGTAGGGGTCTGCATGGGGCTTAGCCCGGGGCTGGGGTCCACAGGGCAACATCAAGGCTCGCAGTTGGGTGGCCTTGGCTGACCCTCTCTGTGGCAGCCCAGGGTTGGGAATCGGCCCAAGTGTGGGGTGGTCTGTAGGGCAACATCAGGGCTCACGGTTGGGCTGTGACTGGCCCCCAGCACCGGAATGACCTGGTGAGTGGCCACCTCCCCGTGGGCCTCAGTCTCAAGGAGCAGGGTGAATGTCTCAGCCTGGCGGTGCTGGACCTGGCCCGGATGGCCCGCGAGCAGGCTCAGCAGCCTGAGGAACTGCTGAAAACTGTCAGGTGAGGGCTTCCAGCGTCTATCTGGGAGTGAGCAAATGTGGCTCCACTGGGGCATCCCTAGAGCTCAGGCTCCCATGAGGTTCCCCACCTACAAGCCCACAGTGTGTCCAGGACCCCACTGAACCACTGAGGCTCCAGTCCCTGCCTCCCTCCTGCTGCTAAAGGCCTGTGTGTGTCTGTCTGTCTTGTGGACCCCAGTGGTCCTTCCCGCATGTGTGTCCTTGAGTGTCTCCGTGTGCGCCTCCTGCCCACCAGCTGAGGCCACACTTCAGCCCTTCAACTAAAATTCGGGTTTGCGTGTGTCCCTGTCCGTACCTGTGGAGATCCCTCCCCACAGTGAGGACTCGCTACCCTCACTCGTAGCTACAAGGTCTGCCTGCCCCCCGACCTGCGCGACCTGATCCAGGGCCTGAGCTTCGTGACGCGGAAGCGCATCCGCAGGACTGTGCGCCGGGCCCTGCGCCGCGTGACCGCCTGCCAGGCTGACAGGCACTCGCTCATGGCCAAGTACATCATGGACCTGGAGAGGCTCGACCCGGCCAGGGCGGTCGAGACCTTCCTCGTGAGCCTCCCCGGGGCTGCTGGTGGTCTGGATGCGCAGGGGCTGCTCCGAGTGGCTGGTGACACCGGCATTGCCTGGAGTCCAGGAGGACAAGAGGTGTGAGCGGCTGCTGGGCAGGGCCAACGGCGGGGGCGGGGCCTAGGAGGGAGGGGCAGGAGAGTGGGCGGGGTGAAGGAGGGGAGAGACTGAGGGTTCCGATAGGGGCCCGCTGAGTGAGAGGTGAGGCCGAGCGACGGGTGGGGGCGGGAGTGAAAAAAAATGGGCGGGACTTAGAGGGAGGGGACTGGTTGGGCGGGGGGCTCAGGGCGGGACTACCTGAAGGTCGGGGGGAGGAGTCAGGACTGGGACGGGGCGGGGCTCCCGGCTGGACTGAGGGAGACGCGGAGGTGGAGTGGAGCTAAGCGAGGGAGGGGGGCTCAGGCAAGGCACCGGCCGACCGAAGGAGATGGGGTTGAGCAGGGGTGGGATGAGAGACACTGGGGATGGGCTGGGGAGGGGTAGGATTGATAGAAGGGCCCGGGGTTTGGCAGGGCCGAGGTGGGAAGGGGCCGGGGTTGGGAGAGGCTTGGAGGGTCAGGGCTTAAGGCGTGGGTTGGTGGGGTCCAGGCTTCCAAGAGGGACTGGGGGCTCCGAGGGGACGCGACCGCCAGCTTCAGCTCCCCCCCTCGTTCCCAGGCCCTCCAGCCCTTCTGCGACTTTCCAGAAATTGTGGACATCAGCATCAAGCAGGCTCCGCGTGTTGGCCCGGCCGGGGAGCACCGCCTGGTCACCGTCACGAGGACAGACAACCAGATCCTGGTGAGTGCTGGACCCTCTCCCCTCCCGCCTAACCCCGACTGCGGGGACGTGGGACTGTCGCCTTCGGGCGTAGCGGGCGCTGACGCGGATCCTCACAGGAGGCCGAGTTCCCGGGGCTGCCCGCCGCGTTGTCCTTCGTGGCGCTCGTCGACGGCTACTTCAGGCTGACCTCCGACTCCAGGCACTTCTTCTGCAAGGAGGTTGCGCCGCCGCGGCTGCTGGAGGAGGTGGCCGAGCAGTGCCACGGCCCCATCACGTACGTAGGGGTCCGCCCCCCATGCCTGCCCTCTGCGGCCAGAACTCGGTTCGAATCTTGGGCACTCCCCTTCTCGCTGCCTCGGTGTCCTCCCCTCCCAGGAGCCTTGGAGAGGGGTCAAGTGAGCTGGAACAGCGCCTGGTGCATGGTTGGCGCTCAACGAGACTAGGCTCTCCCTTCTGCGGCTGTCCAGGGCAGTGGCTTCCCTCTCTCTGCTTCCTCAGGGCGCCAGGGCCGATTCCTGGGGATGGATGGCACCAGGTTCCACCTGCAGCCTCTTCTTTAACCCCCTAGTAGAAGCCCTGATTTTTGGCTCATTTTAAAAATAGGAAGGAGATGGGGCGCCTGGGTGGCTCATTCGTTAAGCGTCTGCCTTCGGCTCAGGTCATGATCCCAGCGTCCTGGGATCGAGCCCCGCATCGGGCTCCCTGCTCAGCCGGAAGCCTGCTTCTCCCTCTCCCACTCCCTCTGCTTGTGTTCCCTCTCTCACTGTGTCTCTCTCTGTCAAATAAAAAAATAGGAAGGAGAGAGGGAATGTTAGCTGGTGAGGGTCCCAGGGCTTCAGAGGAACCAGGAAGATGAGAACCCAAGTCGGCCTCCATCTCTGTGTCTCTGTCTTTTCCTCCGGCCTTTCTCCACAGCCTGGATTTTGCCATCAACAAGCTCAAGACTGGGGGCTCACTTCCCGGCTCCTACGTTCTCCGCCGCAGTCCCCAGGATTTTGATTGCTTCCTCCTCACTGTCTGTGTGCAGGTTGGTCCACCACTAGGAGCCACGTGGGCAGGGAGGGCTTCCTGAAGGAGACGACATTTGAGCTGAGACCTGAAAGATGAATCAGTATTTGCTCCTGGAGGAAGGGGAGGGTAAAGGCATTCCCAGTGGAGGGAACGGCATATGCAAAGGCTTGGAGATTGGAATGAGCCTGTGGTGCTGGAGGAAGATGGGGTGAGGGAAAAGTACTGCCCACTTCCACTCAGGGACCACTCCTCCTTGCAGACCCCCCTGGGGCCTGATTATAAGGGCTGCCTCATCCGGTGTGACCCCACGGGGACCTTCTCCCTGGCTGGCCTTGGCCGCCCCCATAGCAGTCTCCGAGAGCTCTTGGCAGCCTGCTGGGACGGCGGGCTGCACGTGGACGGGGTTGCGCTGAACCTCACCTTCTGCTGCACCCCCAAACCCAAAGGTGAGCCCGCCCCCTCCCCTGAGGGGAGCAATCGAGCTGGGGACCTGCCTTGTGTGGCAGGGGGCAGAGATTGCGGGTCGAGATGGGTTAGGGAAGAAAGGGTGATTTATGTGCTTGTGGAATAGATGCTATCTTGAGGCATGACAAAATCCAGTTGCAGCTGGATCTGAGAGATGTCACTGACTCTTAGACTCTCTCCATCTCTTGCCTCTTCCTCTGGGAGAATCTCACTCTCAGACAAACCCCTTGGATGGGACAACTCTGAGGTGTGAGTTCTTCAGAGTCTTCCAGAATCTCTAGCAGAACTGAGACTAGGTTGCGGGCTCATCGGTAACCGCCCCCCCACCCCCCCACTGGGGCTTCCTAGAGTCTCAAATAAACCGCGTACCTTGGAGTCCTCACCTCAGGGTTGGCTTCTGGGAGAGACCCCAAATTAAGGCAGGGAGTGAGCAAACCTTAGGGGGCCTTCCACCTCTGACCTCTCTTTTTCTCCTGCCACCTCCTCCCCATAGAAAAGTCCAACCTGATTGTGGTGCGGAGGGGTTGCAGCACACCCACTTCATCCCCTGTTCAGCCCCAATCCCAATGCCAGCTGAATCAGATGACGTTTCACAAGATCCCTGCTGACAGCCTGGAGTGGGTAAGCGGCCCCAGGAAATGGAGGGGGGACCTCAGTTGGGATTCAGACACTGGGTCCACATCACACCCCATTTACATCTCTGCTGTGTGGCCTCGAGCATGTGACATAACCTCCTGTGCTTCTGTTTCATTATCTGTAAAATGGGACCAGGGCCAGGGGCCAGGATCCCACCAGGAGCCCCCTTATCAGCCTCTCATGTTGCCCCCTCACCCTCCAGCATGAGAACCTGGGTCATGGGTCCTTCACCAAGATATACCGAGGTTGTCGCCACGAGGTCGTGGAGGGGGAGGCCCGGGAGACGGAGGTGCTGCTCAAAGTGATGGATGCCAAGCACAAAAACTGCATGGAGGTGAGTATGATGGGGACCAAGACTTTGGGGTCAGGACTGGCTGGAGAGAGCGTTGTGGATTCAGGGAAATTTAAAAACACACAGGTCTTAAAACAAGAGAAATGTAGCTGCAGCATCTCCAAACCATGAAATACGGAAGGGTCAGGGAATTTAGATGGAAACAGAAAGAGTACACCAAATAGAAGAAACAGCCAGTGCAAAGATCCTGAGGCAGGGTTGTGCCTGGCATGTTTTTTTTTTTTTTTTTAATGATTTTATTTATTTATTTGAGAGGGGGGAGGAGGGAGCACAAGCAGGGGGAGGAGCCAAGGGAGAGGGAGAAGCAGATTCCCTGCTGAGCAGGGAGCCCAATGCAGGGCTCAATCCCAGGACCCTGGGATCATGACCCAAGCTGAAGGCAGACACTTAACTGACTGAGCCACCCAGGCGCCCCTGTGCCTGGCATGTTTAAGGAACAGTGAGGAGAGGGCGTCTGGCTGGCTCAGTTGGAGGAGCACACGACTCTTCATCTCAGGGTCGTGAGTTCGAGCCCCACATTGGGTGCCAAGATTACTTAAATAAATACAACCAAAAAAAAAAGTGAAGAAGGGCCACTGGGCTGGAGAGAAGTGAACAAAGGAGAAGAGGGGAGTGATGTGGATGGAAGCATCAGCAAGGGTTCGGCCACCCAGGGAAGGCTTGAATCCTCCTTGAACCCCAAGTCTCCCACTTCTGTGTGAGGGACCCAAGGTAGATTACAGTGGGGACTTCCAGCCCCCATCCGAAAACCACGATAGAGTCCTGTGTATACCAGTGGTGGACTCCAAGGTCAAAGGAGGCTTGTGGTGAGGTGTCCTCCTGAGGCTGATTTGTGAGCAGCAAGTTTGGGGTGCTTGGTCTGACCCTGGAGTGGGAGGAACCCATGGACCTTCTCTCCCTTCTCCTCTCCCCAGTCATTTCTGGAAGCAGCAAGTTTGATGAGCCAAGTGTCATACCAGCATCTCGTGTTGCTCCATGGCGTGTGCATGGCTGGAGACAGTGAGACACAACCCTCGCCCCTGCCCCCACCCTTCCTCAGGGAGACCGTCTATGGCAGCATTAGCGATACAAATCCAGAGCCCGCCCTGGCTGGGGTCCCCTAGGGTCCCTCACCTTGTTGCCTGTGTCCTTCATTTGTCACTTTTGGGGCAGCAGCTCCAAGCTCCCACCGATACCCAGCCCCGCAGAATTATCTCAAGTCAGATGGGCCTGGGTTCCAATCCCACCTCGCTGTGTACCCCCTCTGTAGCTTTGCAAAGGCCAAAGTACCTCTCCAAGCTCCAGGTCCACCTGATTAGTACAGCAACTATTTATCGGGAGCCCGGGAGGGGCCAGGAGCTGCGCTCACAGTGTGGAACACGGCACGCGGGGCAGTGTGATACGTGATCGTGTGTGAGGGGGCGGCGCAGGCCACTGTGGGTGGTCAGAGGCCGCTAGCCCAGCTTGGAGGCTAGGCGATGATTCTGGATACGCAGAGATAAGTTCTAGGCAGAGAAGGCAAAGATTAAGTAGGAATTAGGGAAGAAGAGGAGAGGAGGCGGGATGTTCCAGACAGAACAGGCAAAGGGCTGGAAGTGCCCTTCCAGGCATCTCGGGAAATGGTTGCCATAGGGGAAGTGAGGAGGAGGAGAGGTGAGCAGGGTAAGGAGGGAGGGAACAGTCCAAACTGAGAGCCCCAGGGACCCCTCAGGGTGGGGTGGCGCGGAGCCTGTTCAACACCAATGCAGTCCTGCCTCCCAGCCCTGCCCCTCCCCACTGCCTGCTGCCAGGTATCATGGTACAGGAATTTGTACACCTGGGAGCGCTGGACACCTACCTGCGCAAGTCTGGCCACCTGGTGCCAGCCAGCTGGAAGCTGCAGGTGATCAAACAGCTGGCCTATGCCCTCAACTATCTGGTGAGTGCTCCTCTGCTTGCTCTACCCTCTATACAGAGAATGGAGGGGCAATTCAGAGTGGGCTCTGTGGTATGTGTAGAAGTTTGGCAAGGATGCAAGGGGAGGGCATTTTAGGAAACAGCATACATACAAGCTCAGAGATGTAAGAGCGGGAGAAGGGAACAGGTGGTCATTGGTGGATTTCAGTGGGGAGTAGTGAGCCATGAGGCCAGGCAGGGGGAAGGCTTCCCAGAAGAAGGAACATGGGAGCTGGGCCTTGAGGGTTGAATAGAAGCTCATCAAGAGGAGAAAAGAAGGAGGGTGTGTCAGGTTGAGGGCACAGCCTGGGCCAAGGCCTGCAGCTTAGAAGATGAGTTGCATGTCCTGGGATGCATCTAGCAGTTCAGTTGGCAGGAGACCAGGGTAGAGGTGTGGAAGAGAGAATGTCACAGGAAGAGTGAGCAAGTATCTCAAAGGGCCTTGAATGCTAGGCTGAGGACCTCTGATTTTATCCTAAAGGCAGTGGGGAGCCACAGGGTGGGTTTGAAGGGGAGGGACACAGGGCAGCACAGGGGGTGAACCAGAGGAGGCAAGACAGGCCAGTAGTCTATGGAATGGTCTAGAAGTATGGTCTGAGCAGCCCCAGGTGGGCTTTGAAGGATGTGTAGTGGTTCTCCAGCCAGACTATTCATCCAGCAAACCCTCCCTGGCATTTCCTATGCCTGGCCCACCCAGGAAGACAAAGGCCTCCCCCATGGCAATGTCTCAGCCCGGAAGGTGCTCCTGGCTCGCAAAGGGGCTGATGGGAACCTGCCCTTCATCAAGCTGAGTGATCCTGGTGTCAGCCCCTCTGTGCTAAGCCGGGAGAGTAAGTCCGGAAGGGTGGAGGGAGGGGCCTAGTGGGGCAGGGAAAGCAGACCCCTGACCCCAGCCCCACTCCCCAGTGCTCACTGACAGGATCCCCTGGGTGGCCCCCGAGTGTCTCCAGGAGGCCCGGACACTTGGCTTGGAAGCTGACAAGTGGGGTTTTGGTGCCACAGTCTGGGAGGTGTTCAGTGGGATCCCGATGCCCATCAGCACCCTGGATCCCGCCAAGGTCAGAGCACCCTCATTGGCCTCTAGAGTGCCCATTTGGGAGAAGGGTGGGCTGAGGTCCAGCTTGGGGAGGATGGGCTGGTCTAGGGTGGGGGGCTCCTGAGGGTGCACTGAGAGTGACCAGCCACTCTTCTCAACTTCAGAAGCTCCAGTTTTACGAGGAGCGGCAGCAGCTGCCTGCCCCCAAGTGGATGGAGCTGGCCATACTGATCCAGCAGTGCATGGCCTATGAGCCAGGCCAGAGACCCTCCTTCCGTGCCATCATCCGTGACCTGAACAGCCTCATCACTTCAGGTGCCCACTGGGCCGGGCAGGGTGGGCAGGGCTGGCCTGTCATATTAGGCCCCGAGAGGGAAAAAAAAAATTGAAATTTGCATGCAGAGCCGGCCCTGTGTGCTTGGCAGGGTTGGAGTGGTTGGTGACTGTAACAGCTGAACCTCGACCGCTGCTGTAACAAACAGACCCCCTTGGCTCCAGATCATACGTAATGGATATTTACCTTTCATTCAGTGAGGGTGTCCAGGTCAACAGGCACCTCTCCCTTTGTGGCTCTACCCATCCCATGGCCTCAGGTCCCTGCGGCATCCTCTGCAGACGAGAGAGAGAGACTGTGGAGGGTCCCGTGCCAGGTTTCCATGGGCCAGGCCTGAAAGAGCCACCAGCACTTCTCCCTCATCAGACTGAGCTCAGTCATGTACCACACTTCACAGTGGTGGAGTCTGGGAAATGCCCTTCTGTCTCCAAAGCTATATGTAGTTTGCACAGCATGCAGAGCACATAAGGGGTCTGTCTGCCTTTGCCCAGTTGGCCTCTTTTTCCAGCCCCCCCACCCCCCTGCAAAGTACCCATAGGCTTGTGCGGAGACGGTAAGCATGCAGATCGAAGTCCCCAAGCAAGTCAGCTTAGGAGGGGAACCCAAGGCCCAATGTGCCGGTCACTTACTACTTGTGCCCTACAGATTATGAGCTCCTCTCAGATCCCACGCCCGGTGCCTTGGCGCCCCGTGATGGGCTGTGGAATGGCGCCCAGCTCTATGCCTACCAGGACCCTACCATTTTTGAGGAGAGACACCTCAAGTACATCTCACAGCTGGGCAAGGTGAGGTGGACTGGGCTGCGGTGGGCGGGGAAGTGCCCATGCACCCATGCACTTGGACACCAGCCCTGCTGTCCCCCAGGGCAACTTCGGCAGCGTGGAACTGTGCCGTTATGACCCTCTGGGTGACAACACGGGCGCCCTAGTGGCAGTGAAGCAGCTGCAGCACAGCGGGCCAGACCAGCAGAGGGACTTCCGGAGGGAGATCCAGATCCTCAAAGCCCTCCACAGCGACTTCATTGTCAAGTACCGTGGCGTCAGCTATGGCCCAGGTGAGCCACTTCCCAAACCGGTGCTCTTCAAATCACATGCCCTCATTCTCCTGCAGTAACATTTTAGGGTGGTCTGGGAACACCAGGAGGGGCGCTATTGATGCTCTTGCTTAATCCAGATTTGGATCCCCTAGGGTTCGAATTCCCGCTCTCTCCCTTAGCAGCTGGGAGACCTTGGGCAGGCGATTTAAGCTCTCTGAGCATCGATTTCTCCACCTGAAAAAGGGGTCATTATCAAGTTTAAATGAATCAGTGTGTATTGTAGAAAAGTACTCAAGAGCCATTGGCAAAAAGTGTCATGGTTGCTGTTCCCATTTTACAGAAAGCAATATTGAGGCTGGGAGGGGCCCAGGGTCGTACTCTGATCGGGGAGGAAGAATCGGGAGGGGCAGCAGACAGAGTTGGGCCCTGTGGCGACCCCTCCCAGCCTCCCCTCCCCTCCCCTAGGCCGCCAGAGCCTGCGGCTGGTGATGGAGTACCTGCCCAGCGGCTGCCTGCGCGACTTCCTACAGCGGCACCTCGCGCGCCTCGACGCCAGCCGCCTGCTCCTCTACGCCTCGCAGATCTGCAAGGTGCGGGGCGTGCCCCGGGCCGCGGGGGCTGAAGTGGCTAAGTCTGGGCGGGAGTCTGCGTGGAGTCGCGGGGAAGGCTGAGGGTTGAAGTTTGGAGGTCCAGGTCAGGTTGGAGGAGCGGTTGAGTTAGGGCTGAGGTCAGGACTGGAGTGCAGGATGGGTCCAGCGCAGAGTTAGGCTTGGGGTCTGGGATGGGTTTGGGTTGGATTCCAGGTTATGCTGGAGTCCGTATCTCACGCGCGCGTGCAGGGCATGGAGTACCTGGGCTCCCGCCGCTGCGTGCACCGCGACCTGGCTGCGCGTAACATCCTGGTGGAGAGCGAGACGCACGTCAAGATCGCCGACTTTGGCCTCGCCAAGCTGCTGCCGCTCGACAAAGACTACTACGTGGTCCGCGAGCCCGGCCAGAGCCCCATCTTCTGGTGGGGACCCCGCCCTGGCCCACCTCTCCTCCCCACTACTCTGGCCCCTACCTCGCTCCCACTTCCGTGAGCCCGCCATGGCCCCGCCCTTCCCGCAGTCCTGACCCCTCCCCCTAGCGTTATGGCCCCGCCCCCTCAACATTGGCCCTGCCCCTGCCCCTACTGCTAGGGCCCTTCCTGACCCCGCCCAGGCCCCCACTTCCCCCCACTAACCCCCGCCCCTCCCCCCCACTGTCCTGGGCCCGCCCCGGCCCCGCCCCTCCCGCAGCCCCAGCCCTTGCCGGGCCACGGCCTTCCTACCAGTGTACAGTCCCTTCCCCACAGCCTGGTCCCACTCCGCTCCGCCCCTCGGCAGTGGCCCCGCCCCCAGAGCCACGGCTCCGCCCTGACCCCGCCCAGACCCCCCGCAGGGTTGGAGAATACCCCCATCCCACAGGCGGGGAAGCTCTGACCCCGGAGCTGGGACTGACCTTCTCACCTTCTCACCCACCCACCACTGACTAGATCCCCCCGTCCAGGGTTGTTCCCCTTCCCGTACTCTGCCTCACTTTCGCACCCCAACACTTCCTTGTCCCCCTCCAGGTACGCCCCGGAGTCCCTCTCTGACAATATCTTCTCGCGCCAGTCCGACGTCTGGAGCTTCGGGGTCGTCCTGTACGAGCTTTTCACCTACGGCAACAAGAGTTGCAGCCCCTCAGCCGTGAGTCAGCACCCCTGGATTCCCCAGTACCCTCCTCTCCCCAAACCCTTCCTGGCCAATCCCTGTCGCGTTTGTGCCCGAGTCCTTCTTTTGCTCAGTGTCACCTGGTCCCAGGATTATATAGGCCCTCTATAATGGGGAGGACCTCTCTTCACTAAGGCTGACCCCCATTACCACGGGCAGCCCGCTCCCCCTCCATCACGGATGACCCCTCCTCCTCCCTTACGCCTGGCCCCTCTCCCCACCGCGGGTGACTCTCTCCCTCCCTTCACTATGGCTGCCCCCTGCCCCCCCACCCCTCCCCCTCCCCAATCACTGGCGGCTCCTCCTCCCTCCTTCACGGATGGCACCTCTCCCACCTCGGGCGCTCCCTCTTGGCCCCAGGAGTTCCTGAGGATGATGGGATGTGATGGAGATGTCCCGGCCCTCTGCTGCCTCCTGGAGCTGCTGGCTGAGGGCCAGAGGCTGCCCGCGCCTCCTGCCTGCCCTGGTGAGGTGAGCACTGGAGGGCCTGCCTCAGTTTCCCACTCTGGATTTTCCTGGGCAAGCCAGTTGGCCCCTTTGGGTCTCCCCACCTCCTGTTGTCTCTTGATTGAGAGCATACCCTGGGGCATGAATCTGAAGGGAAGTTTGGCTTCTATTTTGCTGTTCTCTCACTGTATGGCAAGCTGCAAACACTTTCAGAACCTCAGTTTGCCCATCTCAAAAATGGGAATAACAATGCCTTACGGGTTGGGGGAAGATGAGACAAGTTAACACCTCTCCAGTGCTCAGCTTAGGGTTCAGCACACTGTCAACACTCCATAAATGTTAACGACTCTTACAGTTTATCGTCACAACTTTTGTGGAAATGTCTAACATGAGGTTGGTCATTCATAAATTGATCTGCCCAGGGGCACTTGAGTGGCTCAGTCAGTTAAGCGAATGACTCTTGGTTTCCACTCGGGTCATGATCTCAGGGTGGTGAGATCAAGCCCCACGTCAGGCGCTGCACTGGGTACGGAGTTTGCTTGAGATTCTCTCCCCCTCCCTCTCCTCTCCCATGCTCCTCCCCCCAGTGTGCTCTCTCTCTCAAATAAATAAAATCTTAAAAAAAAAAAAATAAATGTATCTGCCCAGGCCACAAATGTTTATTGAGTGTTGACTGTGTGCCGAGCTCCGTGCTGGGTGCTGAGGACCCAGCAGGGGACAGAACAGATACTACCCTGTCCTCCTGGTAACCAGCAGAGGCTAACAAGAACATTCTGGTCTGGTGGCTATCAGTGTCTAGAAAGAATTGAACAGGAGGAAATGAGGGGGTGTGGTGGTGGTCAGGGGGGCCTTTCAGAGGGGGTGATCCTGAAGGAGGAGGAGGAGCCTACCCATGGGGAAAGCTGGGAGAGGGCATTCTCAGTGGCGGACACAGCATGTGCAAAGGCCCTGAGGTGGGAATGAGTTTGATGCGTTTAAATAATGAGATGGGGGCAGATGTGGCTGCAGGGAACAAGAGAGGAGGAAGGAGACAGGGGAGGGCATGAGATTTTGTTCTAAGACCTGTAGGGAGCCATAGGAGGCTTTGGAGCAGGGGAAGGAGGGAATCTAATTTATATTTTCTTTTTTTTTTTTTGAAGATTTTATTTATTTATTTGAGAGACAGAATGAGATAGAGAGCATGAGAGGGGGGAGGGTCAGAGGGAGAAGCAGACTCCCTGCTGAGCAGGAAGCCTGATGTGGGACTCGATCCCGGGACTCCAGGATCATGACCTGAGCCGAAGACAGTAGCTTAACCAACTGAGCCACCCAGGCGCCCCTAATTTGTATTTTCAAACTGTGAATAGGAGTCATGTCCTTCCTACCACTCATATGTGACCCTGTTGTCTCTTCCCACCCCCTCAGGTTCATGAGCTCATGAAGCTGTGCTGGGCCCCTAGCCCGCAAGACCGGCCAACATTCAGTGCCCTGGGACCCCAGCTGGATGCACTATGGAGTGCAAGCCAGGGCTAGCAGAGAGTGTGAAACTCACACCTTCCCTGCTTGTCTGGAGGGAGCAACCCATTCACTTCATTTTTATATCTCCTGCACACCTACCTCTGGGTTCTGGTCTCTGTGAACTGGGTGTGTGAGCTTGGGCAGGAGGTTGCCCCTCTCTGGGCTTCCTGCTTCACAGAGACCCCCAGAGGGCAAATGACATCGCATTTGGGGGGCATCCCTGGCTTGTGGGGCAACAGAAGTTTTGTGGCCTCAGGAACTTGTGAAGATTCAAGATGAATGCCTTGGTGGGGCCTGCTGTGCCTTGACCCCAGAATCTAGGAGCCAAACTTAAGCCCCTCCCATCTTCCTACCCTCTCAGGGTTTGGCCCTGAGCTTCCTGTCTCAGTGAAGACCTTGCAGATCTTTAAATACATGATCTCAGGCTTCTGTTCCAACATCCCTCTTTTGCTGGAGGAAGCCACAGACAAAAGCAGCTGCGCTGGTTGGAAATTCACTTTCTGGGGGGGAGCCTGCGTGACTTTTTGGGCTCATGTGAGGGGCCAGGAGAGGCTGGGGTCCCAGTCCACCCTAATTGTACCAGAGCATCCTGTGCCTTCCATTTGCCAACTTGAATACTGGGACCCTTTCTATCCCGACCGGAGGGTCACTCAGTTGATGACGCTGGAGACTTACAGGAGCTTTTCAGCAGCTGAGGGAAGGAAAGGCATTCTAGGCAGAGGGAACAGCGTGGTGAGAGTGAGGAGGTTCAGAGTACAGAGGTTAAGAGCCCAGCTGTTGGAGCCCGCGGTTCTGCCACTTAATTACCGTATGATGGTGGGCAACTTGCCTCCCCTACTGGGTCTCAGTTCCATCCCCTGTACAATGGGCAGATAAAGGGTGCTGGCTTCTTGCTGTACACAGGCAGCTTCTGGAGGCTTGTGAGAAAGCATCTGGTGCAGGTTAAGCCCCTCCCCCCGCCCACTCCTCACCTGCCTGCAGTCTTTTCTACCACTTTTGCCCCCTGGAAAACTCTTATTTATCTCTCGAAACCCCAGCTGTCACCTCCCTGCAGCCTTCCCTGGCATGTTCCTGCCACTCCTCACCTGCCATGTACTTACCTCTGACCCCAGGAGTGGGGTCTCTGTCCAGATCCCTCTCCTCTGACCTGGAGGCTCCCTGGGGGCTGGGATGGGTAGGTACAAGGGGGACTTTGGGCGCATTTGTTTAATGAATAAAGTTGGGTGGAAAGAATGGTGTGTTGCTGGACTTGGGTGATGGGGAATTTTGGGGGGGGTGTAAGCTGGGGAGGAATGTAGTTAGGGCTGGGAGATGGAGATCCCCTGGGGGCCACAATGGGGGCCTCAAGGCAGGCTGGGGGAGGAGAGACAGCAGGATGGGGCATTGGCTGGGGTCCCAGAGGACAGAAGCCCTACCCCCAGCTCCAGCTGCTGGCCTTGGCTCTGTCCTAAGGAACTGATTACAGGCTCTTGGTGGGTGGAAGGAACAGGCTGCTCTGGGGGTGGGGGGGTGGGTCAGAGTGCAAGGTTGGGGTGGGAGGCTGTGGGGAGAGATCCAACATCAGTGGGGACCAAGCAAGTCTTCCTCAGGACTGCTGGACAGATACGAGGAATAACAGAGAGAAAGACAGACTCTCTGAGTCTGTCTCAGACTCAGAGAGACAGAGAGGGCAGGAGAGAGACAGTCTCCCTCTCTCTCACCTACTCTCTTAGCCCAGGGAAAGCCACCTGCTTTGGTGAAAAGCTGGAGGGGGCTGCTCTGAGGTCGAGCAAGAGAGGGTTTTCAGCTCAGGCTCTCCCTTGCCTTGGATGGAGTATCCTCCCTTCTCTCTGCTCGTTTCCCTCCTTGGTAAACTGAAGTCTACAGTGAGCAAACACAGCCAGCTTCATTCTGGGCCCTGCAGTCTCTGCCCCGCCCCAGGAGACCCTGATAGGGGAGAGACAGAGTCAGCCAACAGCCCCAGCCTCCTGTGACCATGGCAAGCGTGATGACCCCCTCTCTGAGCCTCAGTTTCCTTATTGATACAGGAATAAGGACAACAAGATTCTGACTGCTCCTGGTCTCAGATGGCCGGCTGCCCGACCACCACCTTGTGGAATCATTCTCAGTTCATCTAGTTCACCTCTCTAAAATGGTTGTTGTTGTTGTGGTTGTGAAAAAGACTCCTCAGCCAGTGCTCCCCCTGGGGGAGGTACACCCAGGGCCCTGGCCCAGGCAGAGAGACCCTCACTGTTTTGTGGCGCCCTCAGCCTCTCAATAACCAGTGTTGAGTTTAAAACCACCGTTGTGGTTCTTACTATGATTGCAAGACCCCCTTCGGCACCACCCATCATGAAACTTTGAAAAAGTCAAGGTTTATTACTCACAAAACCTCAGAGTTACACAGCCGACCTAGGGTTACCCATTGAGATCACCGGTGGAAACAGGGAGCCAACTCGGGCTTGGGGCTCTGCTTTTATTGGGGTCCAGGGGTGTGGGCCTAGGGTTTCCCCAGCTCACTCTTTATTGGTGGATTTCAGATGCAGAGCGTGAATTTAATGTTCTGAGCTGGCCAGCACACGGCTCCCTTCCCTGGCCGCGGTGGCCCAAATCACCGGTGGCCCGAATCACCGCGTGTGGCTGCGGAGCGTCTCCCGCCGAGGACTCGGAGTCTCTCGCAGCTCTGGAGGCTGGAAGTCAGGGTGCCGGCAGGGCCGGGGTCTGGTCAGGAGGCTTCCTGGCTTGCGCATGGCTGCCTTCTGGCCGGGTGCTCACATGGAGCGGGAGGGGCGTGGGGGCACGTTCTCTGACCTCCCCTTCTTAGGAGAGCACTGACCCCATTGTGAGCCCCCACCTTCACTACCTGCTGATCTCCCGGAGCCCCCACGTCCAGAGACACTGTCACGACACCATCACGATGGGGAGTTGGGCTTAAACATAGGAGTTGAGGCAGGGGATCTGTACGGTTAGGACTCAGCCTGTCAGTATCCAGCGTCTGGTTGGACTGGCCCCTGTGGTTGCACACCCTTCAGCAACACCCATCAGGAAACTGAAAAAAGTAAAGGTTTCTTACTGACAAGACCTGGAGCTCCCACAGCACCCCCAGGGCGGGCCACACAGTGAGAGGGTGGGAGGTTCCCTGGCTGGGCCTCTGCTTTTACTGGGGTCCAGGATGGGGGCGGGGGGTTCCCAGGGCTCATCGCTTATGGTAAAACTAAAACATAGGAGTGGGAATTTAAAGCGCCAGAAGGGACAAAACAAGTGGCCCCAAAGTCCAGTTCTCTAAAGCAACCAAGAGCTCTCAAACAAGGCAGCCTGGGGCGGGTGGGGCCGGAGAGCTGGGTGTTTATGGAGCAAGCGCTGTGGCTGGCAAATAGGTTTATTCCAGATAGCTACCTTTGAAGTGGATGCCTGGGCAATCAAAGCTTAAGTCAGGCAGGACAAAAAAGCCTGGCTCAGTGGGTGGAACATGCAAGTCATGGTCTCCGGTGCTGAGTTCGAGCCCCACCTGGAGCTTAGAGATTACGTAAAAAAAGAGAGAGAGAAAGAGAAAACCCAACTGCGGGGTTTACACCACACTTGCACTCAGTACTCACCCAGCCCTTGACCTTCTCCCTGAGCCGTCCGCGGAATGCTCTGTCCCCATCCAAGGTCCTCAGCTGGGGCGGGCTGGATGCCTATAAGAAGGGGTCCCCGCCGGGGCCGGCCTCCTGCCGCCATGGACCCCCGCCCACTCACCTGGGCCCTGGTGCTGCTCGGCCCGGCTCTGGCGCTCGTCCTGGGCTCTGCGTCCACTCCGGAAGCGCGGGAGAAGTTGTGTGGCCACCACTTCGTGCGCGCCCTGGTGCGGCTGTGCGGGGGCCCGCGCTGGTCCTCCGAAGACGGGCGGCGGGTGGCTGGCGGCGACCGTGAGTGGGGGCGGGCGGGGACTGCGCTCTGGGGTTTCTAGGTGGGGCCGGTGCGCGCGGCGCTGGTGGGCGTCGGGGCGGGCGGCTGGGTTTGCACGCACCTACCGGGGTCCCCTTGCCCGCGGCGCTGGTGTGTGCAAGCGCGCGAAGGATGCGTGCCCGGCCAGGCAAGAAATCAGTGCGTGGCGGGCGAGACAGTCTCGCAAGTGCACGGTGAGATCTTGCCTGAATTACATTTTATGTAAATGTTTATGTAAATATTTATTTTTTGCACTAATTTTTTATTTTTAAAAGTATTGCATTAAAATATGATTGATCTTCATTGTTGAGTTTTTTGGCGCCCCCTTGAATTGTGCGTTGAGGGCCAGTGCTCACTCTTCTCGCCCTGCGCCCCGCCCTGGTGCTGAGGGTATAAAACGGATGTGTATGCCCACGTGTCACACGTGTGTGTCCTATATGTATGAATCTTTGTGATACAGATGCAGCTGGATGTGCAGAGGTGTGCATGGGGGAGGGCTGGGAAGGGCTATGAGGGTATGTCGCTGTGTGTGTGTGTGTGTGTCCATGTGAGCCCACTGCCTGCACAGGTGTCACATGTCATGTATACATATGTCATGTATGTGTCACATGTCACCGCTGCTGTCCTTGGCTTTGTAAAGTGTCTATGCGTCTGCGTGATAGGTGGCTTGTGGGAATGTACACAGCAGGGGACCTGAGCTTGGGTGTGGGTCGAGAGTGCACACGTCTGGTTGGGGGAGTATATCTGTGCTCAGTAGACAGTAGGCATTTAATGGGTGCTCACTTTCTATTTGTGCACAAGATGAGCATTCGGTGGGTCCCTCAGCAGGACGTGAGCATGTAGGTGTGTGCGCATATTGGGGAGGGGTCCTCTAGGGTCCCCTGCCCATGCTGAAATTCTCTGTCCCCAGGTGAGCTGCTGCAGTGGCTGGAAGGACGACATCTCCATGGGCTGGTGGCCGAAGGGGACCCCACGCTGGTTCTCATTCCACAGCCCCTGCCCCAGGCCTCTCGCCATCGCCACCGCCGGCGGGCAGCGGCCACCAACCCTGCCCACCACTGCTGCCTCAGCGGCTGCACCCGGCAGGACCTGCTGACCCTGTGTCCTCACTGAACCCTCCCCCCCAGTGTGGCCTCAGAGGATCCAGAGACCCAGAGGGGTCTGCTCTGGTGAGCTCCTGAAGCCACACAGCACCACAAAGCCCTGTCTGGGAGGATGGTGAGAATGACCTCCCTGTATTCCCCCCCCTCCCCGAGGCCACCTTCCTCTGTGGGGCCAACTGCGAAAAAATCACACCACCACCCTGGCTTGGAAGAGCCTTGGTTTCGCAGAAATGCCAGATGCTCAGGGCCAAATGTCCTCCCCTCCGAGGAGCCCCAGGTGCCACCCCCCCTTGAGGTCTCCCCAGTGGTAAATAAATGAAGCTCCCGCAGAATCCAAAGCAGCTTTTGCATTTTCTCAAGAAAAAGGGACAAGGCTGCATCAGCCCTTGCGCGGGTTGCCCCCCGGCAGCTGTGGACCCCCCACCACTTTCAGGAGCTTATTAGCAACTTGAGAGTCATCACGATACAAAGTGGGGAAACTGAGGCCAGGGGAGACGGCTACGTGCCAGGGTCAGACAGGCAGGGAATGGCCAAGGGTAGGATTCGAATTGAGGTCATCTGTCAAGACCCGTGGTGGGGGGCCTTAATGTTACTTAAAGTCCACGTGACAGCGGACAGACACACAGACATCGAAATGAGTCACAGTGGACACTTACTGATCCAACTCTGACCATTTTTCTCACTTGCACCCTCCCTTCACCCTGAGATGGAACTTGCATTCTAGGACCTCCCGGCGCAAAAGGACCAAGCATTTGACTATGTTAGCCGGTCCATGTTGTTGCTTTCCTGAATCTGCTGTCACAAATTACCAGAAATTGGGAGTCCTAAGACAGAACTTTCTTTCCTTACAGTTCTAGAAGCCAGAGACAGAAGTCGAGGTGGGGCAGGGTTATTTCCTTCTGTGAGGCTCTGAGGAAGAATCTGGTCTGTGTCTCTCTCCTGGCTTTTGGGTGGCTGCTGGCAACCCTTGACGTTCTTTGGCTTCTAGATGCAGGACTCCAAGCCCTGTCTCTGTCTTCATGTGGCCACCTTTTCCTTGTCTCTGTGTGTTCATTTCTGTCTCTTGTAAAAACACTCTCATTGGATTTGGGGCCCACCCCACCCTAATCCAGAATGATCTCACCTTGATCCTTACCTTAATTATATCTGCAAAGACCCTATTTCTTTTTTTTCCCTAGGATTTATTTATTTATTTGAGAGAGAGAGAGAGAGAGAGAGAGCAGGGGGCCGGAGGGGCAGAGAGAATCTCAAGCGGATTCCCTGAGAGCAGAGCCTGACTACGCGGGGCTCAATCTCACGACCCAGAGACCATGACCTGAGCCAAAATGAAGAGTCAGATGTTTAATCAACTGAGCCATCCAGCCACCCCGGCAAAGACCCTATTTCCAAATAAGGCCATATTCTAAGGTTCCAGGGGGATGCATACTGTTCAGTCCAGTGCGGCAGGGGAGCAGGACTCTCTGCCGGGGAGATGGTGATGGGGAGCTGCAGGTGTGTGAGCAGGGGCAGGCAGGATGACGTCAGACCTATGTTAGAAACCCCCGCAGACCCCGTCTCACCCAGGCCTGCCTTTCCCCTGCCTGGATGCTGCTTCAGCTTCCACCTCCCAACAATGCATACGGCAGCCACACGGGTTATTTAAAACTTAAAAATCAATCATGTCATTTCCTTGCTCCAAAGGTGTCATCACTCTCAAAATATCTCCCCCTTTCCTCACCCCAGCCCACAAGTCCCCAGGTGGCCAGCCCCTGTGACTTCACGTCTCTCCTCCCTCCAGATCCTCTTTATTCACCAAGCTCCAGCCACGGCCTCTGCGCTGCAACTCGAATGCTCCCTGATTATCCCACCTCAGGGCCTTTGCACATGCCATGCCTTCTGCCTGGAACACCCTTCTCCTGGCCCTTCCCAAGGCCATGTCCTCTTTCTGCAGGCCCCAGCGCCAATGTCACCTCCTCAGTCCCAGTCCCCGGATCTCTCAGCAAATAGTCTTTCCCATCACTGTGTCCGATTGCTTCGTTTTACTTCTCGAAGCTCTTACTGCTTCTGATAACATCCTATTTGATTGTTCACAGGTTTGTTTTCTCACTATAAGGTGGGTATCTGCCCTCCCAATGGGGCTGGGAGCAGGAGTATAGGGCAAGGTGAGCAGCATACAGGAAGTGCCCAATAAACAGAGAAGGGAAAGGAGATGGGACAGAGGACAGCAAAGCCGCAGTCCTAGTGGGAGAGGAGTCTGGTGAAGAGAGGCGGAGGCTGGGTGGTGTGCTCAGGAGTCTTGCCGGAAGCAAGAGGCCAAGGCAGGCCCACTGTCCCTCACAGCCAGGGCCCGTCTCACCCCTGTGCCTCTCTCTCCTGAGCATGTCATCAAGCTGGCAGTGAGACCCAGTCCCGGTGGGATATGATCTGAGGGCGATAGGGAACCATGGAAGGTGTGTGAGCAGGGGCAGGATGATGTCAGATCTGCCTGACAGAAACTCCTGCAGCCCCCCACTTCATCCATGCCATTGTTGTTGGTGCATATTTTCTACTGGAAATCAGACTTTTACTGATTGTAGACTGGTCTGAATTAAAACTTGTGAATCCTGTGTAAAAAAAAAAAAAGAACCCCAGGTCTTCACAAAACATTTTATTCCCTGAGTACCCACTTCCCAGTGATCATTCTGCTGTCTGAGGTCCCCCCATCCCCATGTCCCAAGCACTACTCCAATGCCTGTGAAGCCCAGGCCACAGACATCCACCCAGAGCCAGCAGGGTTGTGGGGGGAGGGGGCCGCGGGGAGTCACCATTTTGCTTGGATCTCCCCAATCTGAAAGACATACTGAGGTGGGGGCCAGTCCTGGGTCCCCAGAGCTCAGACACACCCAAGGACCTGAATCTCTTCCTTCTCTGGGCACTGGGGTGAGTGTGTGTGCTGACCTTGGGCCCAGTGAAGACCCTCTGGCCCCAGCATCATTCCCTGAATTCTTGGGGAGCACAAGTGTGGGGGGCTGGGCCCTGTCAGGAACTCCAGAAACTCTGAGTTGGCAACGCCTGAGTCAGACAGCCGCCCCCCTCCTCTGCCCAGTGCCTCCACCATTAGAGCACTGATTACCACAAGCAGGGAAGGGGCAGTCCCACTCCTGGCTTCTCGGGCCCCTTCCGCCGTCTCAGGTGGGTGGAGACCGGGAGAGAGGCTGAGAACAAAACTCCTTTCCCAGGCTGAAAAATACTGCATGGACCTAGAAGTTCCCAACTGACCTTGAACCATGGCTGGAACTCACCATTATAGGAGTATGATCAAGGAGGCGCTGGCCACACTTTAAGGTCCAGCCCATGATCAAGGTCAGAGCTGGGAAATGGGACCTTCACTCAAATGGGATTGATGCAGAAGCAGCAACTGCAAGGCCAGCAGAGGGGCCTCTGCAACTAGCTGCCACGGAAAGAGATGGTCCCTTCAGCTGAGAGTCTAGGGAGGACAATGGAACATGGGTTCAAGTACCAGGTGGGTTTGGAAAGTCTAGGAGTTTGCCAGCTAGACTAGGCACTCATCAAACCCTCCCTGGCACTGCCCGATGCCTGAGCCGCTTAGGAGAATCAAGATTTCCCCTTCTGGGGAGGAAGACGCTGCCCCTTTCCACGGGGGTGGAGATCAGAGCCTGGAGGCTGCGGGCCGTGATCCCACCTAGTAGATCTGTGTCTGCTTGCCGCAGGTGAGGTTGGGCTGGCTCAGCGCATCCCACATGAGTAGCATCTCATACGGCAAGAAGCGGTGCACGAGCAGCAGCTCCCGGTAGAGGCAGGGGTCAAAGGAGGACACGTGGGCCGAGGGGGCCGTAATACCGGCTGTGCGGATACCACTGTGGGAGGCGGGCTCCAGGCCTTCCTGCTTCAGGCACATGCCCAGGAAGACATCGTCGATCGGGAAGAGCTCTAATGTGGCGGCAGCCCGGCGCAGGGCGGCGGCCGTGAAACGGGACAGTAGGAAGCCACCACCCCCGCAGTAGGGTGGGTAGTGCTCCTCCTCCGTCACCACCTTTGGCACATAGTACTTGCTCCAGGGAATCCGGATGGGGCCCACGTTGTGGATCAGCTGCCCCACAAAGAGGTGTTGGTCAGGATCGTGGTCCTGCAGGTAGGAGACCATGTTGTCGGTGTGTGCAAAGACATCATCGTCCCCATTGAGCACGAAGCTGGCATTGGTGCACTGAGTCTCCTGCCACTGTAGGAAGAGCACCTGCAGGCGAAGTGGACAGGTCACATGAGCTGGAGGGCTGGGGCAATTGGCCTTGGGTTCCTGTGAGCCGCCCCAGCCTGGGGAGCCCAGATGAGGATATATCCCCTAGTCAGGCCAGCCTGGGTTTGAGGCCCCGCCCTGAGCCTCGGTTTCCAGCTTTCCAGACAGACCCCATCATCGGACCTGCCCCCGGGAATGTTGGGGAATCTGTGGAGACGATGCTCTATAAAGCACCAAGAAGTGCTTGAAAACTGTCCCATTGACATTTATTGCTATTCTTTCGGACTCCGCCTGGCCAAGCACTGCTGTTAAATAATTACTTGTGTGATTGCTACTTAGCCTCTACCTTCCCTCCCCCAGACTCCGGGCTTCCCCCAGGTAGGGGCTGTGTCTCTCCTCCCTGTGTCATCTCCCCAGCACCCAGTGTGGGTCATCGCTTCATAGGTACCGGATTTCACGTTTGTCAAATGGACATTTATTACGTGCTTCTGTGCTCTGCATGAAGAACATGGCATGCTGAGAGCTTCTGGCCGTCTACCCACCTCGGCTTTAGCTTCCCTCGTAATAACTTTGGCTGCATGCCCCGCACTGTGCTAAGTGCCTGCCTTGCCTTGAATCTCTTGTGCAAGCTTAGGAGGCGGCTGTGGTCTTCAACCTCGTTTACAGACAAAGAAATAGAGGCTCTCCAGAAAAAGCGCCGGGACCAAGGTCACACGACAGAAAAGTAGAGCCCAGACTTCTCTGTGCCCACAACACGCGGGACCCTGCACTGGGCCCGCCTCCAATGCCTGGGTGGGTCTCTGGAGCCTGCTATTCCGTATCTGTGCACCGGCAGGATTCCCTCCACTTCTTGTGGGTTCTTGCCCATCAAAAAGGTCTTTACTGAGAACCTACCACACAGACATGGGCGTCATGGGGAGAGAGAATAAGAACAAATAAACAAGACGTGTCCTGTCCGGGGCCCCTCCACCCCCACCGACCGCCACTGTCACGGGCGCTCCAGGTTGCCTCGGAAATATCCTCTCCCAGAATCCGGAATCCGCCCAGCAGCCCTCAGGGGCAGATGGAGCCAACTACATCCCATTTCCTTGCCGACCATGAAGCAGCAAGCCAGGAGAGGTAAATGATCATCTGAGCCTGAACTCAAACCCGAGTCACAGGCTCTGAGAGCCAGGCTTGTAACCTCAGGCCACCCCCCACCTGCCGCCCTTTCTCCCTGCCTCCCCTCGAGAAGACTTGAGATCACCGCGGGGACAGTGGAGGGAGTGGGGTGGGATGGGTGGGGACTTCTGGTTCCCTGGGCGCCGTCAGAGGAGGTGATGGTGAGTAGGCAGGGAGGATGGGTGGCCCTGATCGGGGAACCCCCTCTTGCCCGCCCACCTGTTTGAGCGTGAGGTTGAAGAAGGAGTCATAGAAGTCCCACTGCAGGATGTCACCGTGCACCCGTGCCTCCATTGCCAGCAGCCGGTTGACCTTGCGGGCCTCCAGGGGATTAGGGGCCGTGCCCACCAGGAAGAGGCGACGCAGCTGGACGCCCTTCACCTGGCGCTCGCGGCCCCAAGTGCGCCGCACCAGCTCCCGGCGCTCGTAATTGCCGGGCGAGGACTTGATGACCAGCAGCAGGAAGACGGGCAGCGCGCACTTGCTCGGTGGCACGTCTTGTAAGAGCGGGAAGTCGCGACAGTGTTTATACAGCAGGAAGTCGCGGACCTGTTGGGGCTGCTCCTCGAAGCTCGGCAGGGCGGCCACTGAGGTGTTGGCCCGGCAGGGGGTGGGCAGTGGGCGGGAGGGCTGGGCCGGCCAGGCCAGAGCCTCGGGGTGGCCCTGGGGCTCCTCCAGGCTCTGGAAGGTGGGTGGTGACACGTGCTGACTGAAGAGGAGGAGGAGGAGGGTGCAGATGCTCAGGGCTACAGCCAGGCCCACCTCGGTCCGCAGGGGCCGGCGACACCTCATCCTGGTTGGCCTGGTGGTTCCTGCCAAGAGTCACAGGCACTGAAGGGATGGGCTGGGCCGAGCACTTTCCCTGAGCTACCTGTGGACCCCGACACCCGGCGGCAGCCCCGTAGGTGCTGCCAGGTTGGTACAAGATTGAAATGCCGCCCCCCCCCGCCCCGCCTATCCCCCCGCACCACCCACCTCCTCCGGAACCTCAGCCCCTGTTGGCTCTGACAGTTGCCCGGGCCCTGCTGGCGATGAAGTACTTACAGAGAGGACTGAGGCAGGGACATGCCAAGGTGAGCCTCCCAGACTCCGTGTGCCCAGAATCTGCCCTTTCAATCTGGTCCTCCTCATGTCCCTACCTCCGAGATGGCCCAGGAGCCTCCCCGAGGGAGGCCAAGAGCTGCCTCTTTAACACTGAGAGCTACTGGGATCTTTCCTGCTTCCCTTTTCCCCTGCCCCTCCAGGAAGCTCCGAGCTTCCGGCATTCTGATCCAAACGATCGCCCGATCGCCCGTTCTTCTTGACTAGTTTTAATGGTCCTGTCACCTGAGCATGGCCCCTGGCTCCTCACAGATCCCTGAGGCCCAGCACGTTTCAAACAGAGCTATCTTCCTTGCTAAATTCCTATTCTTCCTTTATAACCCATCTTAAATGATGCATCCTCTGGGAAGTTTTCTTTAAGCCCTCAGGAATGCTCCTGGTTCTATTTGGCACCTCTAGCTCTGTCCACCCCTCTGGCCCAGTCTTGATCCCATGGGCGTGTCTGTGTGTAGCTTTGTCTTTCTAAGACTGGGGGCTTCTTGAGGGTCCGTGCATTACCCAGCATGAGGCAGACACATGGGAGAAGCAGGGAGTGTTTGAACAAATAAAATTTATGAATAAAAGTAAATTCTTTAAGGTTTTCTCTGGCAAACTCGTATTCATCCTTCAAAACCCCAGCTCTCATGTCGCCTCCTCCTAGAAGCTTTCCTTCCCCATATCCAGGCAGGGCCCTTGGTCTCCCTTCTAGGTCCCTTTCCTGGGCTTTCCTGGATTCCCTTAATGACCTTTTGTCTGGAGAGGTAGTGTCTACACTGTTTCTCAGCTCTGTATTTGAAGGTCTATTTTCCAGTGCAGCATGAAAGTACTGGATTAGACCCAAGGCAGGACTTAACCATTCTCAAACACTTACTGACTCACCCAGAGATATGCAGGCTCTAGAGCCCAACCCCTGGGCTTAAGTCACAATTCCATCACTTTCTAGCTGTGTGCCTTCCATACCCTGGGCCTCGATTTCCTCAGCTATAAAAGGGGGCATCTGGGCAATCTCCAACTCCCAGGATTGTGCAAGCATGAAGGGAGCTGCCAGCACGTGGCACCGAGTGGGCATTCAACGATTATTTGTGGAATGAATATGTGAAGTTCAGGACTTACCTGGGGCTGCCGTGGGATGTCTGTGCTGTTCTGGGGCCTCTCTGTTCTTCCTGCTGGCACCTGGAAAACGTGAGTCAGTCAGTGGGTTCATGAAAGTCTCCCCCTGCCCCAAGCGACCGCACCCAGCTACTGCCTGGAAGCAAGCAAGAGAATGGCTTCCCATTTCCATCCAGAGGCAGGAACAGGGCTTTCCTCCTGGACCCACGAGGCCATTTCCCCAATGTGCCCATTGCTGTCGCTGCACACTACCTGGCCAAGCCTCTCCAGCGAGCTGTCTCCCAGAAACAGAGCCCGCAGGTTCCGCTGTGTGACCCTGGAAAAGAAGTTTGACCTCTCTGTGCCGCCACATAAACCGGGGAGAATTAACCCCATATAAGAGTGTTGTTGTGGGGACTTTAGCCTCAAACACACTGGGCATGATCCTGCCTCAGGCCTTTTGCACAGGTTCTTCCCTTGGCCTGGAATATTCTTCCCCAGATGTGCACGTGGTTCCCTCCCTCACTTCTTGTCTTTCCTCCAATGTCCCTTTCTCAGGAAGGACTCCTCAGGACACAGTGTCTCCCCCATCCCCTGATCCCCCAATCCCCAAGCCTGTTTTATTTTTTTTTTCTCCCACAGCACTTTTCACCTCCTAAAATACACGATAAAACTTCTAACATGTCTTGTTTCGCCTTCATCTCCCCCACCAGAACTTGAGCTCCATGCCACCTGTCTTGTTCACCATGTTAGTCCCAGCCCCCAGAACTGTGCTTGGTGCACAGAAGGCACTAAACGTGCATCGAATGACTGCTGAATTGATGCTGGGTTTCTGCGGACACAGGGATACCTAAATGTTTCCACGCTGGAAGCCACACCCTGGAGGGAGGAACAAACACTAATTAAAACCTCACTGAAATAACACGAGGTGACGGAAGCCACAGGAGGAAATGGGGTCAGGTGGCAGGTTTGGATTTCGAGGTCTGGATGACATTTAAGGTGGATGTGAATGGCACAGAAGAGCCAGTAAGGCTGAGGTCTGGGTGAAAGGTTCCAGGGGAGGGACCGCAGGTGCAATGAGCCTGGAGCCTAAGCGGCTTCAGAACGCTGTATGCAGGCGACATAAAGCTGTCTTGGTGCTGTGGCATCCCACCCTGGGGCTTCGGCTGCCAGAGGACAGGTCTGGGAGACCCAAAAAGGCAAATAATTTTGGCGTGAAACTGTGTGCTGGTGAATGTGATACAAGAATGCCCTGAATCCTAGAAGGACATTTTCCTGAGCCGAAGACAGGCTGAGTCCAGGATGGACGGAAGGAAAGGAGTGCTCCCAGGCAAACCTGGCAGATCCCTGAGCTTCAAGGTTAGCGAAACAACGCACGAGCTGTAACAGAAAAGACCACGTCACCACAAAGGAAATCAGACTAGAAATGCCACTGTGTTCTCCTGGGCCACACCTACGGCCAGAGACCCACAGATCCTGGAAAACAATGGCACACTTCAGAACCCAACTCCTGGGCAAGAGACACTCTCATGAAGGATCTATAAAATTTTATTTGAGAGAGAGAGCGCGCGCACGTGCGTGCATGAGCAGGGGGAGAGGCAGAGGGAGAGGGACAAGCGGACTCCCTGCTGAGTGTTCAGCCCTGATCCTGAGATCATGACCTGAGCCAAAGGCAAAGGCTTAACCTACTGAGCCACCCAGGCACCCCAGGACCCATAAAATTTTATTTTATTTTATTTTTTAAAGATTTTATTTATTTATTTGAGAGAGAGAATGAGAGAGAGACAGAGAGCACATGAGAGGGGGGAGGGTCAGAGGGAGAAGCAGACTCCCCCGCTGAGCAGGGAGCCCGATGTGGGACTCGATCCTGGGACTCCAGGATCATGACCTGAGCCGAAGGCAGTCGCTTAACCAACTGAGCCACCCAGGCGCCCCAGGACCCATAAAATTTTAGAGAGTGATTCACCCTCCTCCCCATCTGCAGTTTGGAGCCTAAATCAGGGATCTTCAAACAGGTGATTCTGTCCCCTAAGAAACACTGGCAATGTCCGGCGACACTTTTGACAGCCAGGATTCGGGCAGGGCGGACGTAAGGTACTGCTAATGTCATTAAGTGGGTGGAGGAGAGAACATCATAAAGGACACAGGATGGCCCCACCTCAGGATAATCCAGCCCCAAATGTCAACTTTGTCAAGCTTGAAATATCCGGGTGTAAACCAAGACAGCAATCCGGAACAGAGAACTCAAAAAAGGGAAGATGAGAAGAGGAAAATCAGGATTGAACAAAAGCCCTTGATATGGGTTTGTAAAAATTCCCCATGTGACGTATTTATGAGATTTATTATTTTTATATTACTTAAAAATATTTATTAAACATCTACCATTGGACGCCTGGGTGGCTCAGTCGGTTAAGCGTCTGCCTTCGGCTCAGGTCATGATCCTGGAGTCCCGGGATCGAGCCCCACATCGGGCTCCCTGCTCGGCAGGGAGTCTGCTTCCCCTTCGGACGCTCTCCCCTCTCGTGCTCTCTCTCTCTCATTCTATCTCTCAAATAAATAAAAAAATCTTAAAAAAAATCTATCATTATTATTTTTAAATATTTTATTTATTTATTTGCCAGAGAGAGAGGGGGAGAGGGAGAGAGAGCACACAGCAGGGGGAGCGGCAGGCTCCCCACCGAGCAGGGAGCCCAACACAGAACTTGATCCCAGGACCCTGAGATCATGACCTGAGCCAAAGGCAGACACCCAACCGACTGAGCTACCCAGGCATCCCTAAACATCTATTAAATAGAAAATTAGACCTAAGTAGCCAAGGACCAGTTCACTGGAAATCTGTTTTATAAGCTCCAAACAAGGGTTTCAGAACAAAGGAAGATACTTCAGCAAATACAAATCTTTACAACTCACCCGAACTTGGGCTTTGGGGTGGGGGGAGCACGAGAAGAACTGAAATGACTAAATGGCTCTTACCAGGGTGTCAGGGCCAAAGAGAACCTCTTGGTATGCCATTTGTTTTTTTTGTTTTTTTTTTTAAGATTTTATTTATTTATTTGAGAGAGAGAAAATGAGGGATAGCACGAGAGGGAAGAGGGTCAGGGGGAGAAGCAGACTCCCTGC